CCATTTAACTGCAGTTAAAATACAAATAATAGGGTAATAGAAACATAAATACAGTAAAAAAAATAGGAGAAATACAAAAGGTGCAGGATGTTTAAAAACATTCACTAGAGTTCGTAACGTTACAAACTGGTGTTCGACGGTTGTTGTGGTCTGGAGCTGATGCTACACGCTCCGGGGTGTCGTACCAGATAGTGCATTTACAGTGTCAACTTTGCAATAACGCAAACTTGTCGAGTGCTTTGCAAACGCACTCCTGGAACGAACTCCGGAGCGTAACTTTTATACTTCGATATCGACACCGACGCATCACTTAACTGTCTATGCACTACACGGAACGTCTATGCCGTATTCACTTAATGTCCCCTATGTTATTGTCACTTAGGATATTTTGTAAAATAGACTAGTTAGATTAATGCATCGTCAGTTAGTAATTTGTGCAATAGTTATAAAACAATGATGTTAGGTTTGATTGCGGTGAATTGGTGACGTATCGGGTGCGTGTGAGTTTCAATAATAAGAAAGCAGGTTAAGTTATAGATCTGTTTTACTATCAATTACCCAAAGATAACTGCAAACATGCAGGACATTACTTAAAAAGCGACCCTGAGATTCTGATATACGAGTATTGTCTCCTATTCACATATCTGTGTCATGTTATTTAAAATGTGTTTAGTAATGCGTTAGTACATCTTTTTACACAAGGTTAGTAATTATTGTGCATCTTGATTTGCGCACATGCCAGTTGATTGTTATTCTATCAAGGAGACGTTTCATCATACGATTGACATTAACGGTTAAGGATGCGATGAACGCGAAGGCCATATTAGATAAAGGAAAATCGCTGATGTTTATGACATATTGACCCATGATTAATAAAATCAACATGCTACATACTGAAAATTTAATATTCGAAAAATTAAAGATATTTTCGATTTGCTTATTAGATGTGCGTTACTGTTATTTTAAGATCAATTTGTGACTAGACAGATGTTTGTTGGAATTTATGCAGATAAATTCATTGAATTTAGTTAAATAAACATTTTTCGAAGCAACGGTAGCGTTATTACTTTTATATGACAAGTCTCAAACGCACCCACCTGACAGATTTCGAAAGCTTTCCGTTTTTAAAATATTCCGTATGAAAGTGTGGAGTGAAAGTATGACATTTAAATAATGAGACGTGATAAAAGCAGATGCGTCTCATACGCGTTCAGATGAGAAAGTTTTTTTTTATATTCATTAATTATGTTATGAGCCACTGCTCGGCTGGTGTAATTGAATTTGTACTGTAATTAGCACTGGTTACGCATGTTGAATTTTGTCTTAGCTGTTTTGCCGAAGCAAGATAATCTTTAGAAACATTGTCATCCGAAACAAAAAAATGTTTTAAAGAAACTCTATAACCATAAATACTTGCTTGAAAATTTCTTTTAAGTGGGAATAGTAATGTTAAATTCTACAAAAATAGTCTATGTATCCGCAATGCCGGTTTTTTATTAACAACTGATTCCTTGTTAATCCTATAATTATACTTTTATAATTAGTATTTTTTGGATAATAATTATAGTTTAGACAACTTTAAACACACATTTTGTATATTTATATAACATAAAAAGTTATTCCGACGTAACACCAAAGATAGTGTTAATTTTATGTTAAATATAATATAACAAGAAAAGAAATATTAAAAAAAAACAATCAGAAGAGAAGCTGACATTTATGTATGTGCTTTTAAATGATTTCATTGGTTAATTTTATGGAAACACGTATTAATCTAAGTGTAATTTGCTATTACATACACATATTTTTTAAGATGAAAAATTAAATTTCCGAATGCCAGAATCTAGATCTCTACTGTTATGTATAAGAAATTTTCCTAAAATTCTTAATTCGCTTTTACTAGTTTCAAGAGCCCTACCATCTTTGATTTATTTAGTTGCAAAGTTTATTGTGTCGCCATATTGTATATATATATCTTTTTCTTTTTCTTTAGTAATATTATAAAGGTTTTGCTGAAGAGGTTATCGTTATAAAGTACTAAGAGAAACTGCTACTGCGTGATTTTTCTTCTCTTAAGGTTTTACCCTATATCACGAAACTGTATGAAAACGGCTAAATCCAGTAGTGGACGTCGATGATGGTGATGGTTGCATTCTATCTAAGCCTAAGGGATTAATACAAACAGCCAAATTTTTTCCCTATCCTCTAAGAGAGTATGAAAATCTTAGACTAAGAAATTAAAACATATTAATAATGAATATTGTATTCGTTACGGTAACTGCTTACCATAGAGAATTTAGTTATTAGCAACCGTTGTGGTTTATAAAGGAGCAACCAATAAGATAATTCAAGAGACAAGTGGCTAAAAGGACTTATCTTTACTAATATAATCGGCGCAGTGCAAGATAAGTTTTTCCGCCATGACGTAATACTGCAATAGAGAAGAGACCTTGTGTTGTACGACACGTGTTGCATCTAATATAACTAACTTGATTTGTATACGTAATATGCTAGAATAGTACGAAGTTCGCCCAGTTCCGAATGTACTACGTGAAGTACTACGATAGCGGTCTTAGAACAATTTTGCTACTACCTATAGATAAAATGTTAACTCGACTACACATATTAACATTATTATCATTTCACCCGTTGGACGTCCTATATAGGATGTAATTACACCGAATTTTCTTAAGTAGACTTCAATAAATTTGATACAGAAAGACCTACATACTTATATATATATATGCATCATCGGACATTTTTTTGCGTAAATACTGTAGTTGGAAAGGGTAGGTATAAAATGTGAAATGTACTCTATGGATGAAGGGTTTGATGGAGGTTGTGAGAACGGTCAGTTGCTGAAGGCACGGCAGGTGTTAACTGCATATATTTAAAAAAAAAATTGAAAGTCAAACAGCAAATTGAAAAGAATTGAATGTCAACCAGAAACTTAGTTATTACAACAACAGCGTGCGGTCCAACAATGGTTATTAAAGATAGCTAAGAGTGATCTCAAGTATGTAATTAAATAGGTGTTTTTGCGATTCTTGGAAGCAATGAACATGAAGTTGATAAGGCTGGTTTTTGCTTGACGTGGAACAAAGGTGAGTACGCGCAAGTAGGTCAGAGTCTCCTAGTTACGGCCTTGCTCAAACCGACCTAACCCACCAACAAACCGAGCTGTTTAATCGTATTAAAGTTCTTGAAAATTTATGCATGTATGTTTCTTTGTTTAATTTCTCTTTATATCTTTATAGACATTGGATTAACCATCGTAGACCAAACCAAGATTACTGGAGACTGAAGCTAATAAACGTTAGGATTTATTTTAGGCAGTAACAGAACTGCTTCGCAGACGTTTTGTTGGTTGCAGCCAGCTTCTAAGATTATTCGTCAAAGGTATGTTGACATTCGATTTAATATTGGATGTATTGTACAAGCACTGTGACCACTGTTGACAAAGCTTTATGAAGACGACGCGGTGTTTAGTCCTGCATTTAGGTAATGTAATATATTATGAGACATGCAACTCTCACGATATAGGTCATTTTAAGTTTACCTCGCCCTTAGGAAATGTAAGAAGTTAGATAATTATAATAATGTTTTGATGATATAGAATACATGAAATACACGTGAATGTCAGTCATGAAAACCTAAACGAATTGATCAAGATGGTTATTTACAAAAAAATATTGTATGTAGTCCTAACATTTATAAGCGATTTACAGTAACAGTTTTCAATCATTTCATAAAATATTAAGCTAGAAGACATTTTTATTATGGTTTAAAAGCTGTCCTTTGCATATTTACGTTTACAGGAATTCTAAATGTATTATTTATATACAGACCCAAGTATAAATCAATTACGAGTGACATTGTGTGCATTTAATCCTCATGAGTGGTATAGTATGTGGGCGGCGAGGTTAGGTTAGCTACGGCTTTAGTACTAACCGCCTACAAGCCAGGTATGCTCGCCCGCAGTGCACTTCTGACGTAATACCATGCAACCGTTCTTTTGCACAGTCGTTATTCACGAGGATAATATCACCATTCCATATACAATATACATTTTTAAATGTTTACTTTGTAGGTGAGAAAGAGATGAATGGATACCGCATAGTTTTACTCATGTTTTTCTAATGCATCTATTTAATGAATAAATCATTAGTTGAAATCGTAACTCTAGCAAGTGAATGTAGCGTGAATACAAACGCGTTTACAGAGGCCTGCCGTTATGTCACGACTCACGACAATCAACCGGCTTGAAAGTGTAGAGATGTAATTGTAAGATCGACTAAATCGGTCGCTTTAAGAAAGTGGGACAAATAATTGTTGGCTCTCATGCGCTAGATAAGCTGCATTGTGCAATTGCGCGCATAGGACCTGGCATACATGATAAATGTGTCCGCTCATTAGCGGCATACACTATTAATATGTCCTTGAAACAAGGGCGGTGTTGCAAGCAATCGATTATATGGCACTTGAATGGTAAATCATATACAAGTTATGCTAATAGTACATAGTTACTTTTACTGAGACCAGAGAGTGAGTGTGCATGAGTTATGTGCTGTGTCTATGCAGCCGCGGTTTAAGGAAGCAGTTACGGTCCACCGAACACTTTCCCTCTCGAGGCAACATCGAGCCATCCGGCGGTTGTTGCAATCACAAGCATTTTATAATTAATATCCGTTACGGTCGGCACTTTTCGTAATATGAAACGAGCAGTTTGACACGTCAGTAAGCAGCATTCGATTTCTAAAATTAAGGCACTTTATAAGCGCTCGAATGCGATACTTTGCATTTACATTACTAATTGTGTATTAATGACTTTCTTTGAACAAATAGTAGAACAAAATATTTTGAGTGTTAGTGAAGTAAAATCATGCAAACGAGAAGCGCTCTATAAAGCATACAGTTGAAATAATGAACCTAAGAATATAAAGTAGGTGGCATACATTCCAGTCATAAGGTTAGCATGCACAGCGATATGAGTTATTGGATTATGTATGTTTAACACGTGATATGTATCGTGCTGTACAGATCGCTGGGGGTTGCGGCCGACTCCCGAGTCGAGGATCGAGGTCGTGGCCCCTGTAATTATCTAGTTTAAAATAATCCCGCTGTAGGCGTAGGACTTGCGCAACATAATTCCAACGTTCTAGAAGCGACACTAACACGACACTAGGAGGCACTTCACTGGAGTCCGCGGGGCGTGTAGAGGCGGCGCGCGCGGCCGCACCACTGCGCCGCGTTCCACTTTTCCTTCCGGCGCGGCGGTACACGAGTAACCGCGAGTTGGCAGCGGCACGCCTTGCATAACCGACGGTTTCGCAAAGCGGTCGGTGCAGCGCGCAGCCCGGCTTGAAATACGCAGCCGCTCTGCCAACAGGGCCGCGAGAGCCGCAGTTGACGCAACCACACCGCACCGGTACACAGCGGACTCCGTGCTCCCACCCAGCTGCAGCCTCGCGCCACTCGCGCCCCTCCAAATTTCTCATTCTGGTTTCACATTTACCACTTTCGCCTGTGTGCGCACTCGCTTTCATCTTTAGAGCATCCACACTCTACTTTGTCTTCTCCATTATCGTGGGCTGAGAAAATATCCACTCGGAATCTGAATGCACACGAAACAGTTCGCGACGCGGACCGCAAACAAACGAGCGCCGGTGCAGATAAGAGCGCGCGCGCCAGATGCATCGGTAACTAGGCCACCACGCACTCTGCCATCTGTTTGCATGATTGCAATTCATTTAGATTGTAGTAATAAACAATTGGCAATACAAATTTGATTTTTCACACGATCTTTTCAGAGATCTATTACTTTTAAATAAATACCTGACAACCCAACGGTAAAGAGTTGTTAACTGTCGCAAGTAAGGCTCGTATATCAGCTACAATATTGTCGCGAGCGGGCCTCGAGCTCCACAAATAGACGTTCCATTTCGACGGCCAACTCACGGCGACACGCGAAAATATTGCAGACACGTTTTATTATTTTATAGTCGTCTTTAAATCGATAGCAACTCTTCATTTACGCTCCACGGATACTTACAAATAATGACACTAACTATGAATTTCCTAATTTCTTCTAAATCTAAATGAAACAATTACATTTTATTTGCTTTTTTTTCATATGTTGAAAAAAGAGTGGTGATTTTTCCAAGCTTATTAAGTCTAATATTATATAGGTAAGTATATAAAATATATCGTGTGTTGGTTCATAGTTTAAAGTAAAGTTGATTTTGAAACTTTGATTGGCGGTGAACGTTGCCAGCTATAAGCTATACAGTTAATTCCTTAAGAATCATCATCATCGTATCTCTTGGGAACATTTTTTCTACGTGGTACCTACCGAGCGATGCAAAAATCACTAATACGTTAGGGATGCCACGGTCAAAAGGCCGTATTTAATTCAAATTGCGTAAGAGTAGATAGGTAATGTTCTACAATCACGATGGCCTCGCTCTGCTGTCACTTTTCATTGGTACGCCAGTGCGGACTAATAAATAATATTTTAGTGTTTAGTGGGTTTACGCTTATAGTATGCGAGCCCAAGGCCGGTTGACTCACGAGCCGCGCCGGTTTAAACCGCGAGCTACGAAACTGACTCACTGACACGTGTGCTCATCGATGTGCGCTTTGTGCACCCAATCAGCTGATGCCCTTCTACATTTATGGGGAATACCCGCGGTTCCTAGTGAAAACAACGATCTACTTATAGAATTAGATTTATTTGGTGCAAAGAGTGCGCAACATAAATAGTTTCAAATTATTTGGTGTGAATGACCTATACTTAATTTTGCATTTGTATATATATATATTTAAATCTAATAATGATAATATTAATCACTGTTTGTTTTTTCTGCTCTCTTTCTTTAGCTCATGCAAAAAAATTTAAAGATAGTACAGAACAAAGAGCAACTATAATATGCACTAATAATGGAGTTTAAAGAAGACATTTAAAAACCTAGAAATTATGCAAAATTAATAAGATGTGATATTTTTCTATTACAATTCTATAGGAATCTTATATCCGTAACTTATACAAGTATTCGTAGTATTTGAAACGGGGATAATAATATTTATATCCAGGTCTTTAGAACTCTCCCGGCCCGCCAGGCCAAGTACCGCAGGCGACTCAGGCGCCGGAGGTCGCAGAAAGACCTCCGTCCTCCATAAGCGCAGGCCTGGGGGTGACAGGTAAGGCCATCTGTCACCCTAGCAGAAGCAGGCCGGGGTGGCGGCGAGCGCGTTGCGAAGCGCGCTCGCTTCCACCCGGCCCGAGGTATGTCGAGGCAGGTATGTCGACCAGGGACTTCCTTTCTAGGGTATACCTGGTTGCCCGGCTATTAGTACCCGAGACGGCGTGCGGTTTTAGTCGGTTCGAGTCCGACATGCCACCGTGGTATCCGAGGTAAAAAAAAAAAAGGTCTGAAATTAGTATCCATAAGTGACATCACTATCGCTGCTCACAATACAATTATCATCTTCTCTACAACAAACAACTAATCTGAAACAATATCATTTGTTTATAACATCCATGATTTGAATACACTATGGATTATTACGATTAAAAGTAAAAAAGTACAATTAATCGTTATCCGCTTGGGATTACGTTACTTAGTGGCAATATCTCACAGCAAAAATATACTATTTACGTTAGATTGTCAGACTTTCTGTCATAAATTGACATACCATTGCTCACAACTATCAGCTTCTCTACAATCGTGACGTATAAAAATGTTTATTTGATGAAACAATATCATTTCATTATACCATCCATTGTTTGACAATTTCACAACAATTTAACAATTTCGATTAAAAAAGTACAATTAATCGTAATCCGGATTACGATTACTGTTAAGTTTTATTGGTTGAAAATAAGATATATAGTTATTTGTCTAAAAGTGATAAACACTAAAGTGCATATGCATTTGGCTGAGTTTCAGAATAAGACGCTTTAATTAATTAGGCTGTAATACACCGAGGTACCAACCTTAGGTACTAAAATGTGGTTCAGATGGGTTCGACTCACAACTATGAGAGTCGGGCGAGGACACATAGGTGTATTTTCGGACTCCCTGGGCCGAGACGAGATTACTGTGTGTCATTTTCACGTCGAGTTTACGATCATTTCTTTTTAGTTCGTTCAAAACGAAAACTATTTATAGACCACGCATAATAAAAGTGACATCTTGTTTGATATCTTTCGATTATCTAGGTACAATTAACAAAAAGGCAAATAGTAAACATTGGGTAATATTTCGTAAATATTTATATGTACATACATACAACGATACGATTTTTAGCTTTGTAATATAATATATAATAATCATAATACGTAGGTATGTAATTGTTACCAAATACAACCTGTTCATTATAGCTATTTTTAAATAATTAGTACTTTAAATTGATTTCAAAATTATTGTAAGTGTATAATTACTACTCGTAACTATCATAGAAAATTACAGGAAAAGATACTACGCAATGTTAATTGTCAGTTCATATTGGCTGAAATAAGTTACGTATTAACCAATGACGTTTGCAGTATCGATTGTTTCCTGTACGCATGTACTGAACTCCCTGTCGGTGAAAGGAGGGGGTAGGTGCTTTGGCAAAAAGCCCAAGGATATTTTCTAGACTCCCTAGAACTGCCGCGGTCAGGGTTAGGTCGCATTAACTGAGGGCCAATTATATCAAGGGCAAGCGGTAATATCAATTTTAAATAAAGTATAGACTTCTAGGTGAAGATTTTTGCTCAGGTAACTCACCTTTTTAGGGTAATATTTGTAGAAATTTGAGAATACAAACATGTGGAACTAAACGTTTTACCTAAATTAACAGGACCCATTATATTTTTGTGACTATTTAATTAAAAATAAAACTTCAATAAAGTTTTCGGATTAAAGATTTTATACGGTTTTCTAACCTGTTCAAAACGTTAAATAATAAATCTGTTTTTGCTATAATTCAATGTTAACAATAAACAATAAAGGTCTTTAAAAGGGATTTGCGAAAACTTTACTACAAAGTTAGAAATAACATCGCGTGTGGCGTCGAGGCGTATCGTGAATTACAATGGCCAGCCGCGGGGCGATCACCGCTGTTACGACATGGTTTAGAAAGTCGAGCCACGGTCAACGGTCCCGTGAGCGAAAGTTACCAAGTGTGCTCCCGCCTTTACATGCGTACCGTGTACGTTTCGCAATCTCTCCATACGAAAAGTTTTTGATACCGGTTATCTTTTCACATCAATTTTGTTGTTGATACTGCCTTTCTATTACGTTAGCGACTGGAGCGGACAGTGTGCACGAGTAAATGAAAGTGATAGTTGTGGCTGTCAATCAAACACTACATTTTGACAGTGTTCATGGGCAATTACAGATATTGTTTTCGGGCCATGGTTATACACAACCCAACATGGCATATCATGTGTAAAATTTTATTATTTTACATTTCTTTCTTTAATGAAGAAATTTCGGAATTATTGGTTAGTTTTCTTCCCCTTTATTTCATAACCAGGAATTTAATTAGTTATTATTACTAGTTATTGTGCTTCCAAGTTAACAAAGAGTTTTTAGATACAGGTAGTTTCCTTATAGGTCATGTGAAAACAAAGAAAATATTTGTGCAATTATACTGGCTGGATTGTTTAAAATTGATAACAAAATATTAGTACAGTACTCGAACGTACGAAGATTTAACCCCTCAGAGCAAAAGATTAAACAAAAGCAAAGTCTTCTGTTCAGCAAACATGGTGTGAGACTAAAGTATAATAGGCCATATAATTCCATATTCCCGTAGAAAAATACAGTTTTATACTGATAAATAATGAATAATTAAATATTTAGTTAATAAATATCACCTTGGATATCACTGATAAGTGCCACTTAGAGTCACTAGGTCGATCAGCGGCTAGAGGTATTTACGCGTCTAACGATCCCGCAAAACTGGGCGAGGCTCAGATGTTATAGATATAAATGTAGAGCTCTGAGGTCCCGGATGCACCTGCGCTGTTAAATCATTGCATTACCCCTGCCCCCGTCTCCCTCCGCACTCCCACCCTCCTTTAGCCCCTTCCCGCACCGCTATCCCACCCAAATGACCTTCGCATCTGCATCCCTGGCTAAAAGCCAGCTACTGCATATCTACGTTCATTCTCGAAATCTTGTGATGTATTAAAAACAATTGATTTGTCACCTGTAGTTTATTTGGATCGTCAGGTGATAGGTACTGCAAGTGTGTCTCAGGGTTTCAGTATCGAACAAAGGATGATAGTTTACAGATACGAGTATTTATTAGTGCTTCTTGAAGTAGAAGCTTCTTGAATAGTCTCAGTACATGAAATCGATAAGTTACAAATAACCACAGCAAATAATCCATCAACTCAGTTAATATTTGGTTACGTCTTTATTTGATGCTTCATCCAAATATTCAAGCAATACATACATGACACGTATAAAGATATTATTTGTCATTAAATTATTACCTGACCTACATTATGATGTACATAATCGAGCAGTCTTATACATTACCGCTTAGTATAGTAACACTAATGTGCATGTTATCGGTGATCTTTTATCGCAAAGTAAACCTAATTTTGACACGTGACAATCATCAAAAGCTACTGAGGAGACTGGTTTTGTGCAAAAGCCCCCTATTGCAGAATATGAACGGTGAAAGTAGACGCGTCCGCTACCGAGAAAAATAGTTTTCCACGCGGTTTCACTTTGCGAGAGCTTGTGCAACAGGTGCGATAGCGGAGACGAGCCATACCACTACCGTTTTGGACATAAATATTCAACGCACAATGTAAATGGTGGCGATTTCTTTATTGACGGACAGAGGCGCAAGTCGATGCAAGTACCGTGGCGCGCGCACTATCGGAGGCGCGGCGAGCGACTGCGGCCGATCAGCTGCACCGAAATAACTGCTCAGTGCAGCCGGGCGACTCGATGCAAGCCTCCGCACTCCCCCTCCCACCCTTTACCCCGATGCCGCCCCTACAGCCCGCACCGCTCACCCTTCAGGTCACGGTTGCAGGTCGCATTGCGAGAGCGGAGCTGCACCCTCGATCGATCCAGTTGTTGCTTCCTAGGCTTCAGATGGCCGTGAACTTGAAGTGAGAACACAGATATGAAATCCGAAATGTTAATACGAAGACGGCAAAAAGCGACGAAGGCCTTTTGAATCTGTGATATATTCCATTAATAAGGATCCGTAAAGTAGCATTTTCTTAAAAACATTGTAAATTTAGTTTACTCCCAATTTTCCCATCCTTAATTCATAAAGGATTCAGAAGGAGGTTGATGACAACAGGGTTGCCTATTGAGTGAGACGTAATTTAGTCTTACTAATAGGTGAAATGTGTTTACCTACCCTTTCGGGGAAACAGGCATGAGGGTACGTAGTCAATTTTGCAGCTGTGATGTGTTATTAACTCATTGATTTTTTTCAACTAATAAATCGTTATGCTTTTAAAAAGTGCGCATCACCTTTTTGCTAAATGTGTAAAATTATGTACTTAAAATAATTTAAAATTGTCGAAGTTAGGTCAAACCAGGTCTGTAGTGACGGTTGGCTTCTAGCCAAGGTCTTAGACGGTATGTCAGTGTGCAAGTGCAAGCGTATAATGAAGTTTTATGTCAAACTTTGTTCGAAAACGGCACAGAAACGCTACTGATATATATACTTGATAACGCAATGCACATCCAATGTCCTAGGCCATAAACGGTTTGTACGATACAATTTCCGCAACAAAACATCGAGTAATTGTCTTTTTAACACGTTTTTATTAACTTTTCTTTTTTTAGTAATATTCTTAGTATCTTAGTTTTTGCTAATGATCTCCGACGCGACTATATATTTTTTCGGGTTTGAGATTGCAGAGTCATAGATAAATGTGTACATAATTACGACACTATCAGTGTGCCCTTGCTCGTCATACCCTTGTTTATTTATGCAATAGAGGGATGTGCCAGAGACAGTTGGCATGTGTGTTGGCTTTGATCTACTACTACCAAGCCAACAATATTTAGACTAGAAGACGCCAACACCTTATCTTATTAAGGTAATGTCATATGCGCTGCATAATTGTAATTTATAACATTGCAGAACACTATTACAATTGGATTGAATTCATTTATTTATGTTTAAGTCTTTTTTTATTTATTGTGCGACAATCCCCTCGGATCCCCTGGGGCAACCGGTGGGATAATTATGGCGAACCGTCTAAAAACCAACGCCGTCTCGAGTGCCAGTAGCCGGGAAACCAGGTGTAACCTAGAAAGGAATTCCCTGGTATCCCGACGGACTAGGTTCAAGTCCTGGAGGGACTATTGGAAAGATCCTTAGATTATTAATTTAGAAAAATTGTTTTCTTTTGTTTATCTGTGCAACTTCATCAAGTTGCCAGTTGTTGACCAGTCCCTTAGTGCCGTTTTCCTGGCAGTAATATAGTATTTTATCATATAAGATTTATGCATTTATAATAGGAACGAGAAGTACCTTGAAATAGTTATCTCCATTGCGCTACGTCAATAAATGTGGATATTGATTGCACACAATAACAACAACTAGTTGCGCAGACTCGTGAACGAAGGCCCTGGAGACCTATTTAGCGTGGTCGGTTTAAGTTAAATCCTAGGCCACAGCCCCCCGGTTCCCGGAAAGCGTTTGGTGCGCCCCCTTGTATTGATCGATGTTATGCTGCTGAGCTTGTGCATGTAGGAAGCAAATAGTTATATCGTTGTATGCCTTGATGTTTCTGACGAGATTTAAGAAAGCTGGGTGAAAAAAGAATACATATGAAGTACAGTGACGTAGCCAAACCAAGATGCAGGGACCAATTAGTACAGGTATCAGTATTACCAACGTTTGTAAGTACATAATGTAATCAAATCTTTGAACGTCGATTTTCCATTTCCCGGTGGGCCATGATCGCCTGCAGATGTGCACCGCCCTAGCGGAGCGTATAGTCATGGGAGAGAGCGCTACAGTCGTGTAGATCCCCATGGCAAGTCTGGGTGTTATCCTTCTCGCTGTTGCTGCCTGTTTTTTATCTGGTTCCCTACGAAACAGAGATAACTGAAACACCCAGGCGCAATGCCATCCCATGCAACCCATATTTTCATATCTATACGTCCTGCGGGCACTATGGGTGTGCAGATTCGGATCCTGGTAATTCTGCCGAAAGGCAACACACTGCTTTGGCCCGGGATTCTAATGTCCGACCGAAAAAGATTTTTCAGCCCAAACCGAACTTTCGGCACTTGTTTCAATTTCGGCCGAAACCATTATTATTATGTCTAAATAAGAGATAATGTATTTTAACTTAATACATTCTATCTTATTTAGACATAATAAGGTTGATAAAATATAAATAAATATGTAGGTATTAAGTACTAGAAATTCACCTGTCTAATAATCACAACTAGATAGGTACCTCATACGATAGGCGGGAAAGGACGGGGCGAGGTGGCTGACTTGGTAATTTTAACGGACTATACGGGTTTTTTCATAGTTAAAGTTGAGCAACTGAAGATCACATGTAATACTACTTTTTGGTTGGTTTAAAAATTGTAAAATAGGGGTACGGAATGTAATTTAACAACAGTTAAGTATCTTTTTAGTATATTCAGTGCTTTAGCCACAGGACTCTTTTTGTGTTTCGTAATTTACAAAACAATATGTTTACGCAAAGCTAAAGTACTAAATGTCAAGTTTTATCAAGATAAATAAAACTCAACAAAACGGAGCTCTGTACGTAATAATTGACATTGAGACAAAACACCTTCGACATCACCACTCGACGGCTCCAAGGAGGGTGGAAGAACAAGGAGATAAATAACCAACCAAACTCCCGTGGAATCAAACAAAAATCCCCTAATAAAAAAAAACCAACCAAGCTGGCACCGAGGGGTGATAACCCAACTGCAAGGCTAGAACACTTCTTAACCTCTACGTGTGCTTCATAAGGTCTAACTCTCAAATAGAAGGAGGGCCAAACCGGGAGCTACCAAACCCCTCCTCCCCCAGATGCAAGCATAAGGGACTGGAGCGGATCGTCTCTGCTGACACCAATGCGCATCACGTTCTATGGGAGTGAGTTCACGAGAAACAACCAGAGAGGTAAGGTTTTTTATTTTTTACACCAAAATTACACATATAGACAGTAGCTCAGATATGACATTTGTTATATCCAGAGCCTAATCTTCTATTGATTTCACATTAGCGAGTGAGCACGCGTCACAATAAATATATATATATTCAAACTGTCATGTTTCGAACGAGGCATCGTGCGCGCAGGCTCATCGCAACCATCGCAATCTCCGTAAGATGGGTTTGGTATATACCAAAACAGATTCAGAACATCATGAACAGGTGCATATGCACCATCAGGCTTTTTCAGTGAGCAAAGGTTTTGTTTGCCTCTACAATATAGTATGTTTTTGACTCTGTTAGCCTGCCTGTATATTTTTTATGGAAGAGGTAAAATCTAAAAAAAAAAAAAAAAACTTTATATTTATCGAACATTAATTTTAATAATCTATATTTACACAATACCTTACGTACATACAACATAGGTATATACATTCACTAATTTTCAACTAGGAGAGACGGATAATGCTCATACAGCATAGTTTTGAAGATTGTTACGGTTCTCTACGATGGTGCAGAAGCTTCTCCAGCATTCAGTCTTTCTGATTCGCTTCGTGTATTGACGCCGGGCTTGCGTGTAATCTGTGGAGGAACAGCTGTCCTGTACCTCCAAAAAAAAGATAGGATCCTGAGACTAGGCGAGGTGATCATGCCTGGCGGGTCGCGGCCCAACGGATGATGTTGGAAAGTTTTAAATATGCTAATCGGCGGGGGAATTGCTCATATCGCGATACAAGATAGCAGTTACTCTGTAGTTCGGTGTCTCTTCGTTAGAAAGTAAGAAGTAGTATGATTCTTTGTTTCACCGTATGTGGAAGTCGCCACAAGGCGTTCCAGTGTTCCAGGCGGTCAAGTCGCGAGTTCTTTTTGCTCTATTGAACAACTTTCTTACCTTTCGTCGTAACCTCTCCAGATCTGGTCCTCTGGTCCTCACCAACCATGTTTACTTTGAGATCCAGCTCCGTTTATTGAAAGTGGAAAATTGTTTGTTCAAAGCAGGTGAGATTTAGTGATTAGTTAGGTTGAGAACATGATTGTCAATGTCCGTTATGGCCCCATGAGTATATGCTCGGCTCTGTAGCTAATTGCGCAGTAAGATCTTCATATCTCTTTCGGCCCATCTTACGGAGATTGCGATGGTTGCGCATGAGCCCTGCGCGCACGATGCCTCGTTCGAAACATGGACAGTTTGAATATATATATATTTATTGTGACGCGTGCTCACTCGCTAATGTGAAATCAATAGAAGATTAGGCTCTGGATATAACAAATGTCATATCTGAGCTACTGTCTATATGTGTAATTTGGTGTAAAAAATAAAAAACCTTACCTCTCTGGTTGTTTCTCGTTGAACTCACTCCCATAGAACGTGATGCGCATTGGTGTCAGCAGAGACGATCCGCTCCAGTCCCTTATGCTTGCATCTGGGGGAGGAGAGGTTTGGTAGCTCCCGGTTTGGCCCTCCTTCTATTTGAGAGTTAGACCTTATGAAGCACACGTAGAGGTTAAGAAGTGTTCTTATTAAAATTAATGTTCGATAAATATAAAGTTTTTTTTTTTTTTTTAGATTTTACCTCTTCCATAAAAAATATACAGGCAGGCTAACAGAGTCAAAAACATACTATATTGTAGAGGCAAACAAAACCTTTGCTCACTGAAAAAGCCTGATGGTGCATATGCACCTGTTCATGATGTTCTGAATCTGTTTTGGTATATACCAAAACAGATTCAGAAGCCTTAGAACTGTTAATGACAACACACTTTCCAGAATAATGCATAACTGACGTAAACGATACATGGGAAGATAGGTGGGAAAAAACACCAAACGACACAGACTGGGACACGACTCGCATAATATAGACTATGAAAAAATAAGATGGCGATTAACAGCTTCCTTCCATTTAGGTGGACTGCACGGATGGGGTAGTGGTTTAAGCGATCGCCACGCCGCTTCCTACTGCGCCGA